ACACCTTTCTGCGGCAGACAGTACTATTATCCCCACTTATAGTTCAGAGAAAATGAGGCTGAGGGAGGTCCAATGACCCATCCAAGAGCAAAACCAGGATTCGAAAGCAAGCAGCTGGCTCCCGAGTCCATTCTCCTCACCACCACGCCCTACTGGCTCTCACTGAGTCTGAGAAAGCCCTCCCCGCAGTGACTCCCATGGGCCTTCTAAAGAAAAGCAAGCATTGTTTTCTTTTCACCCCGAGGACGCTCTCATAGGCTCAATAATTAAAGGTGGAAATGACTATATTACAGTGCCTCGCCCCCAGAGGACAAGCCAGGGGGCCCCAGAGAAGCATCTGCTTGTCCCTGATGAGACAGCGCTGAAAGGTCGGCCGCTCTCCGCCCCTTGGGATTTGTGGTGGGAACGGCTCACACCAAAGGCAGGCGCCATTTCTCGAAGGGCCAGGGGACCCTGCCACATGACATCCATGTCAGGCCAGATCAGGGCACACCACTCTGGCAGCAGCCTTCTCGGGTTCTGAAACCAGATCCCAGGCTCTGGGGGCCTCTGAGATCTCAGAAGACCCACCCCGGCTCCCTTCTCCCAGGAGCCACTGGCTTTGGCTGGCTACCTGCAGGATGGACTGACTTCTCCTTTGCCTTCAAACCTCTATGAAATGGGCACAGGTTTCTCAGTGACCTGCCACATGGAAGACCCCCTCAAACAGTGGCCAGGTGACTTCCTCTCAAGACAACTCTGAAGGGGTCCACCAGAAGGCCACCGTGAGGAAGCAGTAGAAGGACACAGAGACAGGGCAGCTGGAGGGATTTGGTTTATTTTTCATCCAAGAGGATAAAATACCCAGCAAATATGGGCCCTGCTGGCTGGCTGCAAACCTGGCATCGGCCCTGGCACCGGGCCAGAGCCACAGCAAGAGGCAGAGGGTGCATCTCACAACGGGGTCCAGAAAGCCCTGGGAAAGCTCCACTGTTCAATCTTGGCTAGTTGTTTTGTCAGCAGGCACCAGCGTGCTCCTAAGTTATGTGAATGCTCGAGGGCTCTTCTGGAACGCCTAGCTTCTAGGATATTCTTAAAAACGCATTTGGAGTTTAGACTTCTCTGCCTTCCCTCTTTTGCTTTTAAAGTCACTATGTGAATCTGTCCTGCGAGAAGGGACATTACTAACATTCCCCATGGCAGGTCTGACTCTTCAGAGCTGTGGCTTCTGACAGTGAATCCGAACTCGGACCCTTTAAAGCAGAAACTAACAAACGCACCCATCCTGACCCCTCCTCTGGCTGAATGCCCCTGCATCAACTCAGTGGGGTGGACACGGAGGCAGGGACTGATGGCTTTAAAGGAAATACAGCCCGAGAGCACTCACTCTTCCTGGTGATCTTTGCACAAAATAATCGGTGCCGACTGAAGTCTGCACACCGACTGAAGTCTCCTCACTGGGGAAGGTGACTCCCCGAGACGATCAAGTCCCAGAGAGACGGCTCTGGAAGCAGGACAGGAACAGGGGCCGGAATGGTAGCTGCCAAGATGCCGAAGACTCCAGCTTGAGGGAATGCAGAGGCACCGCCACCTCACACACCTGACAGAGGCGGGACAGGGACCAAACTCGAACACCTCAGGCACCATCAAGGGTACAACATGCTGTGCTCACGGGGGTTATGCCAGAAAGGACTCTAACGAGGAAAAGTAAAGACATCCACCAAGGAACTGCCTGGCACAAGAAGCAGAGAAAGCTCCGGGATTTCACAGAAACGATGTGGTCATTCTGCCCTGAGAATGGCCCTCTCTCACCACGGGAGGAAGGCAGGGGAGGGAAGCGCTCCCCACTCAGCCTCCATCACCCCCAGGAGTAGCAGCAGTTGTCAGCAGGCAGCTACCGGGTCAGCATCAGGCTGCATGAAGCCCGCGTGGCTCTCCACAGCTGCTCTGGGGCCACCACCCAGCACAGGAGTGGCCGGCACAGTGGCCATCCCTCTCTTCTGGCTCCTTTCCAACATCTACACCTAAACCCACCCGACTCGCCCATCTTAATCCCGGCCATTCCCTCCCAGTCACTGCTCTCCAGCCACACCTCCCAGTAGGCTCTTCATAACCTGTCTTACCTCTCATGCCCTACTCACTCCATCTGTTTACCCATACCATGGCTTGCTGGATCCTCTCCTCATCACTCC